GAAGAAAGAGAGAGAAAGAGAAGAAATGAGAGAGAAGAGAGAAATAAGAGAGAAAGAGAGAAAATGAGAGAGAAAGAGAGAGAGAGAATAATGTAAAAAAAAAAAATAATTGCCAACGATCGTTTGCAGTTAAACGTATAAATTTTATCCGCCTGCGGTCTTTCTCAAGACGAATAAATTTAGAATCGTCCAAAAAATCATATATATGCAAGACAGAAATATAGATAGGAATCTCTTGAAGAAATATCTATAACTTTAATAAAACTTTTAAGAAAATTCCGGCAGAGAAGCAGCGCATTATCAGATTGTTCCTCGCTCTAATGAAGCGAATCGCAATGTTCACGAAACGTTGGCATTTGATAATATGCATATTCCGGATAATATCCGTAAAATAGGTATAAATGCATTTATACCTATTTTATTGCAATCGATATTTCGATCAATCACTACGATATTTCGCCTTTTTTACGCGACGTTAAATTTCCTGCTCGAAGCTGATCTCTCCTCGCTCGGTTACGCTCTGTATAGCGTAATGTAAAAATGGAAGCGAGCTTCGACGATAGCGTCCAGATTGCATTTTCGCGTGGCGAAAGTGTGCCATAACAAACGCGAGATCCCGGGCGCGAAAATGCGGCCGCGGCCGTGGACGAGGGAGGAGGATGTAAATGGAGTCGTTAGGGCAGCGTGACGTGCGACGGCAGGGCGCGGTATCGTTAAGAACGATCTCCGGACAAAGCGGGACCTTCTCATTATCGTGCAACGCAACACTTCGAATTTCCTGGCACGAGAGACGCCGGCGCTGCGCTGCGTTGTGCTGCGTTGCGTCGTGCCGCGTCGCATCGCGCCGTGTTGCACGAAGGGTGCATTAAAATGCACCCTTCGGCTGGCCGGCCGGCCGGTCGGCCGTTTAACACCTCATAAATTAATCGTGAGTATGATCCGTTAGTTAACGCGTTTTGTCGGCGATTTCCTTCGCGGACAACTGGCAAGGAAGTACGACTCACTCCTTGTTTCGATTTCGACGAGTTTGGCGAGTAAATCGTACAACTAGATAACTGGCTTCATTATAATTTTTATACGATTTTTTTATAATTTTTATAAGATTACAATTACGTAGCATATCTCTCGAGTATCTTACTCATAAATATTCCCTTCATGATATCTAATAAACTCTGCCTCGATCTACTTTGAGTAGTTATTAGTTTATATTAAACTAGAGTTCCAGACTGTGTGACACGAATATCAAATTATTTCTGATTTTCTAAAATAACGGATTATCAATTATTTGAAAAATAAAAGTAAGATTTCTTTGCTTGAAGAAGATAATATAGAGAAAATGTGATAAAGAGAATATATAAAAATAAGAAATTTTTTGTTTGGCTGATTAAAAAAATATTAATAAGATTTGTAATTATAATTTCTGTCAGTTTGTCGGTGTATCTGAAAGTAAATGCAACGGCTCGGAGACGACCCAGATTTTCGATCGCAATTGCAAAGTCAGCTTCAATAATTTCGACATCCCGGAGATGGAACGAGCGTTCCAAGAAATCTTATTACACGATCAGGTATCGAATAAATTCCTCGCCCACGGAAGAAAACCCCCTCGAAGGATAATCGTTCTTAATGACTTCCTTATTACAATTTCGTTATCTTGATCACTAATGTGTGCATGCACGCACCTCCACGGAGACCCGGACACGCGTCACGCACGCCGCAGCACGCGCTGCACTGCGCGAGGGAGGGAGCGGAGGGGGGAGGACTCGGTCCTGTAAAAAAATTATAATTATTAGAGCCTTGTGTACTCCGTTAAACATCAACAATTTTCCAGACGATCATTTTCCAGGCAATTTATTTCATAGATGGAAAAATTCATGCCTCTCGCATTTGTTCTCGGTATGGAAAGCTATTCTTGCGCTTTCACTTTAAACAACTGTATAAAAAACAAAAAAATTAATTAATCAATCATTATATAAAAAAAAAAACATT